TCCCCTAGCTAGCTGGGGCATGCTGGGAGTTGGAAGCTTTTTTTCTGTCAAAGCATGCATAAGATGGTACCTGTAATCGATTTGCCTTGTGACCTTCCAGTGTTTAGAATAAAACCAACAGAAACCAAAATCTCAGACCATGTCAAACAACATGCTCCAACCCAATCAGGTGAGAGGGCCGTCAGGTTAATCTATCCTCCCTCCACACCTGAGTCTCAAATACTTCCTTTCACTAAATGCCAAATGTGCGTATTATGCTTAATTTATTTGCCTCAGTAAAACATCCATGCAAAACAGAATTAACTGCAGTTTAAAGATCTACAACAATCCAAGTCTTCACAGATGTGTTCATCCTATAACTTCCCTGTAAACCTCACTCAAACGTCTGCTTTGATATTTGTACGGGGAAGGGTTGGCTTGCACAAGAGGAGAGAACTTCCAACAGAAAAGGTTGTGAGCCACCCCGAGGCTTCGGCAAATGGGGCGGCATAGAAGTCTCCTAAATAAATAAATAATAAATAAAAGCTGCCAGAGCTAGAACGGAAGAGCGGGAAAGCTGCTCCCCATCCTCCACTTTTAGACATCAGCTCCCACAGATGTCTTGGTGTGGGGGGTACTACATGGGACGGAAAGAAACTTTGGAGCTTGCTTTCTGCAAAGTTGAAAGGTATCAGAGAACCACATTTCCTTCCCTCCTCCTCTTCCCAAACCGGAGACAGAGTTGTTGTTCCCCTCACTTTCTTGTCATGCTGATGACTAAAAAAAGGCCATGACCTACATCTGCTGATTTAGCTGCTTCACTGCACCCTCTTGACACACCCTAACTACCACCATGCCACAATGAGCTGCGAAGCTAGGCATTTGACACAAGATGTAAAGGTACAGAAGATTCCTCTGAAACATTTTGGATTCTCTTGAGTGCTTGAAGACGTTTCTCCGTCAGTCATTCACAAGACTGCTCCATGCCTGTTCTAAATCACCTGGTTCTTGCTCTGCATTCTAACAAGGTGACAGTTCTTTACATTTGCCAACAGAAGATAACATCCTTGTAGATCCCATGGCTCTGTCAGAAAATACAGGGTTCAAATGCACCTTTAATGAGCTCCAAATCAGTTGCTTTTCTCAAAGAGAAAGCAAGAGAACATTGCTCCTTTCCTTCTGTAAAACTGGTTTTTCACCATGACCTGAATGGGGGAGCAGAAGACTATTGGGCAGAAAGTCTAGCCAAAGCAGAGGGGAGACAAGGAAGCCTGGATTGGATCAAACAGTTTTCCTATGAAAGCTTCTTGTTCACAAGGGGAATTGTTCTGCTCTTCCAGGTGAGAGATCGAGTAGATTTAAAAGATTTAAAAAAGGTTACCTAGACAACTTCTTGGGGAAAAAAGAACTCTCACCTTCGCCTCACCTCCACCTTTTCCGCTGATCTCACCTCTGTCTGGGCTGCTCCCAGCCCCTGTTGACAGAAACCGGGTTTTGCGATGTCTTGTCTCGAAAGGTTAGTTTGGTGAAAAAGTTTGGGTGGGGGAAAAGACTTGACCAGTTTCCTGCTGCTGTGTACCAGTGCCTGTCCAGAAAGTACTGAAAAGATGCTATTCTGACATCAGAACAGAATATGGCAGACAAACAAGAGCCAATAACAGAGACGGAGAGGCACTGCCACAGTGCTGCGTTCTTCATCACATGGATATTAGCCCTACTGTCCTTTAACTAGAGGGCCTGACATTACGCAAACAAAACATGCTGTTATTTTGTCTCAGTTTTTCTGTCCCTACGTGACGGACACCTCCAAGGGGGTAGCCAGTGTCTCACAGAAATGGCTGAGGAAGTCTTAGGGAGGACGCTTTATTTATTTGTTTGTTTATTATTAGATTTATATTCCGCTATATTGGCCCAAGGGCTCGCTAAGTGGATTACAATGAAGCGTGAGCTGCAAAAGTTACAGGACTAGTCTCTCCCCTGTTAATTCCTCATGTATTGCCTTCAACCATGAGGTTAAAGAAGCAGTCCAAGGCTCCATGGTTCCTCCCATCTCTGTCTGAAAGGGCTCTGGTGGTTTGGGGCAAAAAGCACAGGAGACACCGTGTGCTTTTTGCCCCAAGCTGTGTGGCACTGAACCATCCCTCCCAGTGTCTCCTCTGGTAAGGCTAGAGCAAAGTCAGGCATTGCCAACCAGACGCTTTGCATGATCGAGGAGGGCGGAGCAAGGTGTGTCCGGCTGGGGGGATTTGCAAGCTTGCTCTGAGCAGCACAGCTTGCCGTGCTGTGTGAACCCAGCAGGGGTGGCTTGTTGCCATGGATAATAAGCCACCCCAGAGCCCTCCAACAGCCCATGGCCTGCCAGGAACACAAGGGCCGAGTTTCAGCATTTGGCCGGTGAGAGCAATACATTTCAGAGGGTTTTGATCAACCGAAAACTTTCCCCCAAGCAATCAGGTAGCACTTTTTCAATACATTTTAAACCATTTTTAGTGTCAGTAGTTTTACAAAACCATGGAGCTGGGCATCTTTTGCAAAGGAATTCCCCCTTCTCTCACCTGAGGGAATGCCTCTTCTAAGACAGGACCTGATGTACCACATGAATGCATCAGCTAAGGTCAAAGACACCACCCCACCTTTTGAAAGCTTTTTACTCGTATGCAAAGTTTGTGAAGACTTAACCAATCAGTCAACAGTAATCTGATTGGTTGATCAAGATTTCTTTAACTTAATGCCCCATACATACAATTTTTGCTCAAGTTTGCTCAGGCAAGTTTCTGATCTCTACAGAGATAACACACCATGACTGGCTGCCCCTGGGTCCTTTTCCTTCATCTCTGAGCCTCAGAAACCCTGTTATCCTTTCAATATTTCTTAAGGCAGCAGTCACAGTGGAACATACAGTTGCTTGGGAGGCAAGGAATGTCCTGCTGAAAGTCCATTACTAGAGCAAGAGAGATTTGGAATCTGAAATACACAAAGAGCCAATTTGGTACGGTGGCTTTGGTATGCTAATACGCTCAGCATTTTTCCAAACAACCTTTCAAAAATGCAGTTGTTGGACACAACGGTGGAGTATGACTTGGACACTTATTAACCAGTGAGAAACTATTAGCACAACTCCGCACAACTCTCACAGAGCTCTGGTTGTGCAGGGGCCATGCTGTTCCTCTGAGGATGAAATGCCAGGTGCAAGCAAACATACCACCTTCACTCCACACCTGTGGGCTTCCCAGAAAAGTTTCTTCTGGAAAAACATGGCTGGACTTTGGGCCTGATTCTTGTGCCTTATTATATACATTTTTGCGCACAGCCTTCTAACTAAAACTAGGCATTCACACTTCACTAATTATTGCGTGCCACTTGGCAACCATTTGGGCTTTTATTACACACTCCAACTTACTGCTCTTATTACTGCACTCCTGGATTACTGCTTTGCTCCTTTGCCATGCACTGAACATGCCTCACACCTAGATCATCGTTTGGCATCCTTATATCCCGCTGAAGACCCACGAGTAGACGAGAACCGCCAGTTCATTATTGTGAAAAGCTGTGAGCCATGGAAGAAAGGTGACAGAAAGGAAGAGGATGCAGATCAAGTGTACTGTGTGGTGTCTGTGTGTGCAGTGGGGAAGAGAGAAAATAATTTAACAGCCTTATCCAAGGCGGCTTCTTGGAACCTTCCAAGGTCAGTCTTCCAAGCTCGGAGCTGCCGCCAGCATAGTTCTTTGCATGGAAGGACACTCTGAGCTCCCAGCTCTGCCCTCAGAACAGGTTTCCAAGGTTGGCCTCCAACTTCTGCATCAGGCAGGGGACAGAGGCCAAAGAACAGTACGAAGTGATGAACTTGATCAACTGTTTAATTGTGGGATTTGATCTGGACTTTGATTTTAAGAAAGTGCATGTTTTTTTCACTTAACTTCTTCAGGAATATTTCCTAGGTTTAGCTATTGTGGCACTTTAATGTTAATTTAGTAATAAAGTGATTAAAGGAAGCTAAGCTAATCATCTACTAATCCTTATTCAGTAGAGAGCTCCACTTGCTCTTTAGAAAAGCCATCTTTCCAAGGCTGGAATCCTAAGCACTCAGAAGTAAATCTGATTTCAGTGAATAGGACTTACTTTCCAGAAAACTTGAGACCTGAACTGTTTGATCATCAAATTCCACTTAATACCCATACCAACCACTGCTAAGTTTCACTCTCCATCTTTTGAAAAATAAAAAGGGATCATGAGCAGGCAAGCCAAAGATGTCTTCCAATGGCTCTCAGGTTTCTCTGACAATCACATGCTTTCGTTAGAGATGCCCAGTCCAACAGAAAGAATGGAGGCCTCTGTGTACTACCACTTTAGCATGCTTCCACCGGTTACCCGAATATTTGTGTGGCTAGAACATTCTGGTCCTGCTGCTTACCAGTGCACCCTGCAACCAGCTAATTCCTCTTGTCCGTTTCTTTGTTTTCAACATCTGAATGGTGTGCACACACATGTTCATATCACACTTAGAGGAAACAATATCATGGTGGGATCAAGCTTGTCATGAGCCGTGTTTTGAAAATACTACAGATAACTCTTGCTAGGGAAAGTTGAAGGCAGTGGTAGAAACAGAAGACCAAACAAGAGGTGGATTGACTCCATAAAGGAAGCTGCAGCCTTGAATTCAGGAGGCTAAACAGGGATGTCAAGGACAGGCCATCCCGGAGGATTTTCATTCAGAGGGTCGCCATGAATCAGAGACGACTTGAAGGCACATCACAACAACCACCTGCACAGCTAACCCTTGCCCTGCAAATGGCGCCTCTGCTTCTTTGGAAAATAGAGTTCTCCAGCCCAGATGCCTGCTGCTCCTCCAGACAGGACTAGGAAAAGAGAGCCACAAGGGCACCAAACTGGCCTCCCTCTTTACCTGGGTTTAATCAGTAGATGGGAGACACAAGTAACTGCAGGGCCCTCCATCCGGGCCATGAAGGGTTCGGCACGGCTGGCAGGCAGCTGGGAAGGAAGCCGGCCGGCGGCGGACCTACCTGCTGTCACTGCACTCCTTCTTCTCCCGGACATTCAGCCACTTGCGCAGCAGGAAGCGCTTGCGCCGCGGAGAGGCGCTGGGCGTGGAGCAGTTGGACCAGGGCGCATCCTCGTCGCTGGAGGGGGTGATCTCAATGGAGGGCAGCTGGAGGTACTCCTTGCTGGAGGAGGCGGCAGTCTCCAGGCTCTGCTCGTGGACGTTCCTGGCGCGCCTCATCCTGAACCGCCTCCGGCGCAGGGTAGGAGTGGACGAGCTGGACCACGCGTGGCCGCGCTCCTCCGCCACCTGCTGCGCGGGGACCTGCAGCGCCGGCGGCTGGCGGCTCTCCGTCATCTCGGCAGCGGGCGGCAGGTCCGGTGTCACCCTCATTTGCTCAAGGCGCTCCCCTCCTGCCCCGCACCCCACCTGGCCCCGGCCCGACCTCAGGGCGAACCTCCCCGGAGAGCCAAGATCCGCCCGGATGCCTCCTTGCCCAGCCTGGCACCCTGCCGCCCTCGCCAGGAGGAAATCTCGGGTTTCTCCCGAGGTCTCACGTGCCGAGCGCGCCCGCCCGGCAAACTTCAGGAGCGACTTTCCCCCGCCGGCGCGGCCGGCCCCCTTGGGCGCAGCATCCCCGCTCGGCTCGGCGCCGGGGCTGCCCTGCCTGCCCTCGGCTCAGCCGGGGTCGCGCCTTCCGCGCGCGGGGACGGGCGGCTCGCCGCGGGACGGCGCTGCCGGAGAAGCCGCTCTCGCCTGCGCGCCCCGCGGAGCGGCGAGCGGCGAGGAGGCGCGGGGCGGTCGCGGGGGGAGAGGGGGGGGGGGGGGCGGGCGCGGGGGGAGGCAGAGCCCCGCGAGGGGGGAGGGGATCCCCGCCGCCCCCGGGGCTGAGGCGCTGGCGGCGGCACCTGCCTGGCTCAGCCCGGACGCCCGGGACGAGGTCTCTCTCTGCCGCCGAAAGCGCTGCCGCCCCAGCCGGCGGGTGCGGGGGGGCGTGGGGGCGCGGCACGAGCGCTGGGCTGGGCTGGGCTCCCCTCCGCCTCAGCCTTCCGGCGGGGGGCGGCACACCGTGCGGCGGGGGGGGGGCGGAGGACCCCGTCTGGGCGGCGGCAGGCGCGCTCGCCCGCGTGCGTCCCCGAGGGAGGGAGGGAGAAGGGGCAAGCCGGCGGCCCGGGGGGGTCTCGCGGGAGCTCCCCGCCCGGAGACGGCCACGGCATGCCGGAGTCGGCACGTGCCACCGGACTGCGCGGACGCACGTGAAGTCCGGACCCCTGCGCGCCTGGCGCGCCCTCCCAGGGAGTTTGCGAGCGGCGGGAGAGGGCCGGGCACCCCCCAACCCCACGCCCCCCGCTGTCAAGTGCGCCGAGTCGGAAGGCTCCTCCCGGCGTGGGGAAACATCTGAGAGACTGGAACCGAGCAGGCGGCGTTTGGGTGGCCTGGGGAAATCTGCCTGGCCGGGGAGATGCAGTTTGCACAGCAAAAGACGGCAAGAGGGGAGATTTCAGGGCGGGGGCTGCTTCCAAAATGGCAGTTTGGAGGGGAGGGGGTCACCTGCAGGGAAGGCCAGCAAAAGCCAAGCAAAGACAGCTAGCACATAGAGGAGAGCAGCGGGAGAAGCCAAGGTGGAAGCTGAGAGTACGGCATGCGGGCGGAGCGATCCCCTTGCAACTGCAGGCCACCTTCAAGTGAGAGAAGGAATGCAACTCGGTTGAACGACACAAGACAGCAGCGACAACAGCACCCGCACAATCGCCTGTGTGAAGGCTGCGGCTTAGGTTGCTTGCACCAGCGATGGAACTCCTACCAGATGAGCACTTTGCCCCGTCAATCAATCCTAGGCAGGTTCATCCAGGGATAAACATCAAATTCTCAAACGACCTCCATGGCTGGGGCTCAGACGAAGGGAAGCATGGGTGCAGTTAAGATGAAACAGATCCCGTTCGGTGCCTCGCAAACTCAGCTACGCTAATTATTTCCTCCTCTGTGAGGATTCATTAGTGGGTTGTTTTAATGCGGTCAGCCCTTGTTTATGGCTGCCTGACACCATCTGTCTAGCAGCTGACACGTTCTTACTCCTTGCTGGTGTTCCTCCCTTGCCTAATTGCGTCTCTGCAGTCAGCAGGCATCTGCGTGGCTTGCTATGATCACAGTATGGAAAATGCATCATAACCATCAGCGGTGTATGTCTGTGGAAGCAGGAACTTGTAGGAAGGGCCCCTGGAGTGCAAGGTGGGAGGAAACCGTGGAGAGAGCCTTATAATAGTGGCAGGGAAGGGAAGGGGAAGACACAGCCTGAAAGTTACGAAGTAATGGTGTACATTTGTGGCACAAACACAGTTTGGGTCTGGGACACCCACACAGATCCTTGAAAGACCTAACTTGCTAAGGAATAGCCACGCGGAATGGGTAGGGCACCACTTGTGAGTTTCAGGTGTGTGAGACGGAACTTCTGGTTTTGTGAGGATACTCTGAAACTTTGTTAGGAATTGAGGCACTCCTCATCATGGCAGTTTCTAGGACCCCAGTTGGGAAACACAAGCATTAAATAGGTGGGATGGGATGGGATGGGATGGGATGGAGACATTCCTTTAAACATAGGATATAAGGTACTGCAACTGAAGATTTGCTGCAATCATTGGGCAGATGTGTAACAAGACTATTGTGTGGCACGTTGTATGCTGAACTGCAGCCATTCCAGGAGAGGAAGAGGAGAGCAGAAAAGCCATTCCACCAGCTCCGTGGCAAAGTGGATTAATTTCTCCCCTCTTCATTTCCCATTCCCTTTTTCTTATATACTGAATCATTTTAGATTGTAAACTAGCAGACAGGGCTGTCTTTGTTTACAGATTATATCTATACTACCCCTGGAGCCATTTTGGTTGAGGAACAGGATGCAAATCTTCTTAAATAAATAAGCAATGATAAATTATGCAATCAATTTATAATGTGATGATTTGTGGGTGAGCTGTAGTTGTATTATTTTAACTACAATACAACATCAGGACTTCTATGAGGCTGAAAGGCCGGCTATAAATGTAAAACTTAGTCAAAGAATAAATGGATTAACTGAGGAGTACCTGAAATAATCCCCCATTTCCTGCATTGACTCTAAGTCAAGAAGCAACACAAGTAGTTCCTTGGTATGCCAAGTTTTCCAAGCACATACTTCTATCACTAGGCAACGTTTACTTTGCCATAACATTCTGTGTCACTTTTTAATTTTGGATAGAGGACATGGGACACCTGTTTGATGCTCTTTGAAATCCAGGAGTTGTGTAACAAGAGAAACAGAACAACCTTCTCAACCATAAGGTGTGAAAAATACTGAGAGAGGTTGTTGCTCTTACTCTGCAGAAAAGAAAGGACTGCTGTTATGGGAAAGATTGGTATTTTCTTCCTTCTATATGTGGTAAGGGCAAACTCAAAAGTATTCTCTTAGCTGTTGGTTTGGGTTTGCAGAAGAAGCAACAGAGCAGCAGGAGAAATTGTACTTTCATTTGAAGGAACTAGAGTTTACAATATTGGATCTTATTAATTATAAGAATCATCTAACAATCTTTTATGAAGTTCATAAAGTTTTATGAAGTTCATAAAACTTCACTCATGCAAAAAGGCCTTTTGCTTTTCGGTAGAGAGGCTGACCAAGAAGTTCAACAAATCTCCCCATAGGAGCTCCGGATACTTCAGAAATTCCCTCCCGTAGAAGCACTCTGAATTCCTCAACCCTCCCTCTAATCAAGACCACAAGCTACTCTCTTTATGATGTTTATGCAAAGGTTCAGGCTTTAAAGGGACAATGGTGCTATGGCTAAGCTGCACTTTTTGATTCCATGGCGGAGGAAGTGGTGGAACGAACACCGAACCGCAGTCCTAAACACTTGAGAGGAGAATTCACGAAAGCTGGTGTAGCTGTTCAGTTACTATTTAATTTTGGCAAGAAACCTTCCACACCTCTTTTCCTGGGCAGCTGTTTGAGATGTCCATGGTTTGGGCAGAGTGAGAACACAAACGCTAAACTGGAATTTTTTCTCAGTTGGTTCTTTTGGGTGCTTGAAACAGAGGGTTATCTGAAGCAGCCTGGCATGAAGGCCTGCACTGATTTTGCTCTTGCTAAGCATGAATGCTGAATAAAAAGACTTTCACAAATGCACCAAAAGATTTCAGTGTTCTCATTCATTGCAGACACTGTTTCTTAAAAGGAAAAATTGCACGTCCTGCTACTTGAAGGGGAGAACAATGAGCACATATTTGCCTGTGACACCTACACTGCAGCTCATGCCAACTGTTTGTTACTGCTAGAGGGTGTGTATTATTTATTTAGAACTTTTATATACCGTCCCATCCCTGATGTCTCGGGATGGCTATGAGCATTCCAAGCTCTGCATGGAGCACAAATAATCTGACGGTGGCACAAAATTCTCACTATAGTTTGCACTTTTTCTGGGAGGTGCTCGCCTGCCCCTCCATGCATACCCACTTTCTGCTCATCAGTACCTGAGGCACAGGTTGTCCCCACTGGGGTGTGCTCTGAATGTGTTGTGAGAGACACATTGTGAGAGGCACATGAACAAGTTGTGAGGGACATATGAACAAGTCCTCAAAAGAGCTTAGAAGACGTTACGTACATCCCCTCAAAAACCTGATACTGGCTCAAAGAGTTCGGGAACCGAATTGTGGTCATTTTCATACATGGGGCTTCAGTCTTTTGAGTTCTCTCTTGCTATTTATGTGACTGTCTGGTTGTGGTTGTCAAGGCAGAGGGGCTTTTATAGTGCAAATGAGCAAGTTTCACATTTACAATCCAATTAAAACAAGAGCAGGGCTTTTTTCCCTGAAGGAAGTCTCCAAAGCAACCAACTAAAGACTAGTGAGTTGATAAAATCTGGGAGACTCTAGCTATGTATACAGTTACTCAGCAAGTGCAGCAAACAAGGAATCCTAACCTCAAGAAAGCTGTCTTGGATCTGTGATTTCCAATTATTTCCTGTATTGAAGCCCTTCAGAATTTTGATTGAATTCCAACCAAGTACAGTTTTCTATATTTATTTTCTGATTAATACACATACACACAAAACAACAATCCACTCTCTCACACACGCCTTTTATATGCTATATAAAGTATAAAATGTATTTCCATTCTTTTATTAGATTTCAGGTTCCTACTTAGGGCATTTGAATGTAAACATTCTATAGGCATAGTGGTTAGAGATAAAGGGGGCAAACTTTTCACTGGCCAACATTGCCTGGGATTATATGGAATCGCAGCTCTGAGGTCCGGGGACTCTGAATGCACAGCCTATCCCATCCTCCCCTGCACAGCCAGCTGCATCTCTTAGGTCAGAGATCAACTTTGGGGA